GTTGGCGAGTGCGTCACCACCCGCTCCAAAAGCATCAAAGCATCACCTTCCAGAGTTTACGTATATCTTTCTCGAGCCACATATGCACAGCAAACCACAGCTATGAAGTCTCATTCGTGCTTTGAACTGGTATAGGTGTGTAAGAGGTATAGCAACATAGCATTCGTACGGACCCACGGTAGCTACACTTCTGTTCCCGGGTGTCGCGCGCGAGGCTTCAAAGCTGTGGATTGTTGTGCGTGTGTAGAGGTTATCGAGCGGTTGACGGAAAGGGAACTTGAAGTACTATACCTGGTAGCTGCACTATAGCTACCCTGGGTCTCTATACCTGGCAAGGTGCCAACTACACCTTTCCATTCAGATGATGCAAATGATGCAAGTTGCATTTCTTGCATCACCACCCCTCAAAAATCACCTCCAACACAACCTCAACAAACCTTCCCTCGACGCACCCTCCTCCCCCAGCATGCGCCGAGTTTACGTGTACCTTTTGCGGGCCACCCCCCCCAGACCCCCTAACTACTCACTTCGTTCGCCAAACACAACTCCGCTGGCGCCTTCTACGAAGGCTGGCTTTCGTAACTGATGCTTCAGGTGAGTGAGGGCCTACTTTCCACAAAGGTTTGCGCTAATTCAGTGCGCTTATCTAGTCACAGGCGACCGCCTTCGACGCACGGAAGGAAGAAAGACAACTTACTACGAGTACTTACTTATCTCTTGCTTCTACCCGGGTCTTCACGGCCTCCCCCAAAAAAAGAGCCCCTTAGGGAGTCGCGTTTTAATACTTTGTTTTTCCTGAAGCGAAAGTGCATGGAGTCTGCGCTCAATCTGTCTCAACTGGTTCTTCGTGTTCGAGCGCGGAGGCTTCGGGCACGGGGTTGCCAATTGTTTTGTCCAACAAAAATCGTCACTGGTCTTCGTAAATATGGTATTAAACAATTAACAGTTAATGATAGTGGAGCGTTGCTCAAAACCTATCAAGAGTTTGTTCTCATTGGATATATAAACTGAGTTCTTCTTTTTGCAAGGTCCTTTCGCAACACTTTCGCGGCTTGTGTTTTGGCTTTCACGCGCTGCATTCTGTGCAAAAAACACTTTCGCAGGCTTTCACGAACGGAACTGATTTCGCGGGATTTCCTCGCGCGTGAAAAGTTGGCGCACTCTTTTGCGAATCTTTCGCGACTGCATGTTTAGCTTTCACGAAAACATAATACATTAACCTCGCTTCAAATTGTTACTTGGGAACCCGCTGCTCAGTTGAGTTTTGTTTTTTTTCGAGTTTTGTTTCGACTTTCTCAGTCTCCAAGAATCAAGACTGTGTCGCCTGGCCAATGCTTTCTCAGGGTGGCCTTGGCGTGGTCATAGGTGGTCACCTGTCTCATCCATCGAGACATGTCTCGAGTCGAGGGAGGCTGAGGGTCAAGACATGTGACGCGAGCACTATATGGTGTAGATTGTTGTAGCCTATATATATATAAATATAAACACCTGAGAAGGGGGGAGGACGAAAGCCAGCTGTTTTTCCGACGGCGGAAATCGCTTCAAGTTCCCATGAGCGATGTCAGGCTTAGCTTCGTGCTGTTGGGGACTTTACTTGCGCTTGTGCCACTGATCCGCCCAAAATATAACCATAAGTCGCGGCGACACCTATTTTTTCTGAGAGACATACAGAACCATAGAGACATAGAGACATAGTCAGAAAACGCAGAGACATAAAACACAGAGAAGTTGCTATCTACACGGGATCTTTTTCTGATAGCAACTTGTCGCTGCCAACCAACTACCATACTAGCACCAATACATCCATTTAGACGTCTCTGAAAGGATGACTAGGAGGATGGCAGGAACTATATGCCTCAGCATGTTTTACCTGCTTTGCTGGTCCAGTCAATACCATCTATATAGCTTCTTTGATTGAAGTCCAACAACGAATGTAAATTGCCCGGTCGTGCATGCTTGGCCAGGACATGTCGATATCCTTGCTTTTGAGAGCTTGACTCAAGCGATGGGGTGCAGGATGTCCAAGGTTTTGGTGTGCATGCTTTAGGTTCGTACCCAACTAGCCTCATACCTTTGCGTGCACGCTGACGTGTCTCACCGTTCCCAGCAGCCCGTCCGAGGCAAGAAAAGTGCTCACCGGAGCCCTTGATGATGCTAATGATGCACCACTCGGCGTCAATTGCATCACTTGCATCACCATGCCCCCATTTTTACCTCATTTTCAATGCTTTCTGACCTTCACTTTTGCGCGCTCTCCCCCAGCAGGATCAAGGTTCACCCTCTCAGTTTCTTACGTTTTGGGCCCCCACACCCCCTTAACTCACTTCGTTCGCTCACAAAGCCTCCAGCCACGCCTATCGGCTGGCTTTCGTAATATATATATAATTATATATATAACATGTTAACAAGCTATAAGTTATAGCTTTACAGGGTCCAACTTTATAAACATGGCGCTTGCAAACCTCGCCAATAGCGATGGCAGCTCCTCGCGGGGCTGAAGCGCTCACCCCGCGGATCAGAAGACCTCAGAAGTTGCTCTTTCCAAAGGCTTCTCGGCTCGGCTTTTGTTTGATATTATTTGTATCAGCTTGTGTTCAATCAAATCAGCTGGCTGCAAAAGCAAAAACATCACAAAACTTGCAGTGCAACTCCGCAACTCACTGATTGTAGGTCTGAGGCCGCTGACAAAGCCTTCTTTAGCTGATATTTCTGCTGCAGCAGAAAGAAACCCTGACGACCAAAGGAATGCATACATGAGAGGCTCAAGCGCCTCACTGAACAAGCTGAACAATGCTGCATTTCATCTAGCTCTGCTCATAGACTCATTTACAATCCCTGCCCGGCGCATAAAGCCCAAAACATCTCCTGCGTAGCGACCTGGTTCTGCAAAAAGGCGGACCTTGCCGAGGATAATGCAAGAATGAAAGCGCTTGCTGCGCGCAACTTGCAGTCTTCAAAATTGGTGTCCGTATCCGTGAAACCAGCACAGTGTGAGCTGACTTTGCACAGGCAGGATCTGCTCAAGTCTGCTTAAATCTGCTTAAGCCTGCTCCGGCTTTGCAATGCTTCGCAATGCGAATCAAGGCTTGCCAGCTTTGCACTCCAATCACTTAAGCAAGCATTGCCCAGCTTTGCTATGGTCCAGGCCTTGACAACATCTGGTCCATTAGCAAAGAGTGAACCCCCTAGACCAGTCAAAGCTGCAGCAGCTGCACGGTGACCTAACTTTGGAGCAAGGTTGTGGTTGACCAAGGCTGGCCAACCGCAGCACATTCAATTGATGACCGTTTTGTACTCAGTAAACATAAGTAAACACAAAGGTTTGAAAGGTCAAACAAAGCAGGGAGCAGCCTAGACTCGGCTCTGCATCTTTAGGAGAGACCTGCATCAAACACTTGCCAAAAGCTATGCGATTCCACAACAAGTGTAACATTAAGACAGGTGGTCCAGAAGGGGTCAGGTAAGTAATTACCATGCATGTAACCAAACTCTTCCTCAAATGAGTGAGTGTTCCTTTCATGTGGAGCAGTCTGTTACCATCACTGAACCCTCCTCCAAGCAGCTTGCTCACCACTATCAAAACAGCTCGTGAATGCTCAAGCGAATCTGAGTTGTTTGAGGCTCCCGTCCATGTCTCTTGCTAATGGATACAAGCCCTTTGTGCATCCGCTGTAAAGCCTCAAAAAGATGGGAGCTGACGCAGCTTGGGCAATGTGTCAAGAAAGTGCTTTCCATGCGGCAAGGCACTCCCTCCTAAGCCTTCAACATTTCCCGCACCAATGATGCAGTCAAGCCAGGCCTCTATCTGTCTTGCACACATTGGCTAAAGGTTAAGCTGTGACTCTACTTATCTCTGATTTGAAATCTATGCACATGAATAAATGAGTTCGTGTGGAAGGCCTAGCGCCCTAGCTAAACAGCAAGGTCTCTGCCTCCAAAGTCCTCTCCATGCCCCAAGCTCTTTCCAAGCCGCCACAGCCTGCGAATCGCTGGGCTTCAAAGTCATGCATTACATGTGTTCTTCCACATAGTACCTCAGTGATCCTCAGTGTCTTTTTCCCGAAAGCATTGCGAAGGGTTCTTCCGGAAAATCCTTTGAACACTGACACTTCGACACGTACACTTAGACACACCT